ATTTGATATTAGGTCGTTGAATAAAATAATGGCTTTAGAAATGAACTGCCACATTGGAAGGACTCAAAAATAATAATACAGTACACCTAAAACAAAATTTTTAATTACACCTAAACTCTCTTAATACGACAATTCTGTCTATAAAAGGGACGTCATATTTTATACGCGCCGTTGACGCGCTGTAAACGCGCGTTAGTGTCGCGCATTTTGATAAGAGATAGTTTTATCTCATGGGTAACTTTGGAGTCAAAAATTGAATGATCCAAATCCTCGAGCAGATTCGATTCCCTTGCTGGATCCGACGCAATGTTATCGACTCCACGGAGTTATTAACTCCGAGACCGGGTTTGGTACATTCGGATCGCAACTTTCTTCGGCTCCTTTCGGAAGATTGGTTCTTTCGTTGCGCCTTCCTTTCGGTCAGCGGGCGAATCGCGAGTAGTTGTTAGAGTGAGACGCTATTCGCTAGAATGCATGGCAACAGCATGTCAAATGAAAGAGACAAATATAATTTTATACTAGATAAAACACTGTGCTGCAAGCAATTTTCGCTCTTCCACTCGAGCTCGTTCATTCGTAAGTGTAGTAATAGCTCCTAAGATCTTAAGATCTTAATATTGATTGCTCGCACCTTTTTTCCATAGATATAGAAAAAAAGGGGAGATATGTAATGACGCTATGTAAGATCGGGTGCCGATGTCGCCACTTTTTAGCTTGTGTGCAATTCAAATTTTACGCTATATTATCTACTACCATAACTTAAAGATTTTGATTGGGTAGGGCTTAAAACGTGAAAACGACGTAAAACAATTTTAAAATTTAACAAAATTAAACTTACAGTCACCTGAATAGGAGTTATATTACAATATTTCAGTATTTTTTTTTATCCTGGTTCAGCCATTCACCGACAGGTGGCGTTTTAGTAAAAAATATTACTAGTATATAATAGCTAACTATTACACGTTAGATGGCGCTGAAACTCATTTTTCGTTACACTAAGAACTCACGGAGCGGTTTTCACCCGCGTCTACCGCGGGACCGCGGCATCTGTAGACTAAGTATGTAAGATTAGTAGCACATTTCACGGCGCGTTTTACGCCTGTAGTGGTGACGGTTGCTCGCGGTTGCCGCGGCAGGGTACTAATAGAACCGCGCAAGACGCGATGACCTGCGCGCTTGGCGGCCGTCGTCGCCCGCACACTTTGGCGGTCGGTTCAGGCGCAATGTGATGCAGGCGCACGCAGGGTAAATTCTCTATTAACCACGCGACTTGCAATAACTCTCACTAACTTCGCGGTCCGTTCCGCAATCGCAACGGTTTCGTGCCCGCAACCGCAGCAGCTACGTGCCCTCACAAACTTGCAGGGTCGTAAGTACTGAAATAAAACCGTTGCCTAGCAGCACCGACGAGTGCGGATGGAAACTGCTCCGTGAATATAACCTTATTAACCTTAAACTGACGCTACTCAACGAAGGATGTGGTCCTACCTAATCTATAGTTGGAAACCATGTGGCTGTTCTTAATATTATATAATATAAATAAAATATAATATAAAAAAATATTCCATTTTTCATAGGTACTATATCTATGCTGGTACTGGTGTATTGTTAAATGAATATATTAATATAAATTATTATTATTTTCTTAATGGCAGCCACTAGGCTTGGACCAGTGTCAGTTTTATAAGAATAATATAAAAAATATGGCGATCGTCGCCAGTGTCAATTTTCCATTATACGTTACCACGGGTTGCTGAAGCTGTCACTGTCAATAGTAAACTCGAACCATCAATGAATTTAATAAATTAAATTACGTTGTTTTTTTATGAAGGATTTATGTAATTTTCTATAATTGTTTCTAATTTATTTTGCATGCACATGTAAAATAAAGCCGATTTTATTTTATTTATTTTTTAAATGCATTTGCTATGGAAATTGAAACAAAGTCGGAAATAGTAATAAGAAAACCAATCTTTCGATTTTCCTGCAGAATTTACTTTATATATTTTATTTATTATATTTATTTTATTTATTTTATTTATTTTATTTATTTTATTTATTTATTAATTTAATTTATTTATTAATTTAACTTTTAAATTTACAATTAACAAAACAATGCACTTCCACCTATAAAGATTTTTTGCATATTATGATTGAACATATGCGTCTGCATCTATGTAATCGCCTATGGACCGCAAGTTTCGCGATGCAATCGTGCGTTTGTTTGTGAGAGTAAGAACTAAAGTTGTTTTATTATTAAAAGTTTTAGTACCAAAAGTTGTTACATTTTATTGTTAGTGCTGTGGTAAAGGAAAAAGAATTTCTTTAATTTTGGGAGCTGGAGTTTACAAAAAAAGAATCGATTGTTGATCAACAAATAGCTTTCAAATTAGTTGTTAAGCATTTAGGCCTCCATGTTTGATAGCGAAGCATTACTATTTCATAAGTTGTTCCACTCTTCTTCTTAATACTAGTTGGTACTAGGCAAATGGTTCATACTATATGTAATTTTATTCTAAACAATCTAAACTGTTAACATGCAAAACTATACACAATCACTCACTGTTCCACAAATTATTGTTTGCCAAGTTGGTGAAATGTACAGAAACAGAATGGAGATTATGTCTTTTTTCCCAAACAACAGACTGAATTCAAACTATTTCTTTTTTTGTCTATACCTCAACTCACACATGACCATAACTTCATATGAGCTCAGTTCGTAATGTTCACAACACTGAATTAAATTTTAGAATTATTTCAACACACAGTTATTATATACAAATGTTTCACTTTATAAAGTAAGTGTTAATATCAATCACACAACACTTTATATCTTTAACTTTGTAGAAAATTAACATAACACTATATATAAATTAATTGATATTGACAATAACGGCTGCTCCATTACTCATGTATAGAAGTAGTTTTCACTGGAAGTTAAATATGGTGCATTTTAAATTCCAGTAGAAGGTGAATATGGTGAACTTTTAAGCCTTTAAAATGTAGCAAGCAAAATTAAGCGGTACTGCAACAAAGTCACAGTTTAAATGAAATGTTTTATATAGGTTTTTTACGTGTCACTACATTTGTATTGGTTATCTCCAGGTATTTTTTGTGGTTTTTGTATTAACCTGACATCCATTTGTTGGCAGGTCAACGGTTAGCATAGGTCTATTGCCACACAACCAGATATTTATGCCAACTACTTATAGTAATACAAATAAATGAGAGTATTTTCCTAACGTCCATGTTAAGAGCAACCTCACAATGATAACTGAGAAAATAATATAGGTCACAAAAACCCAATTCGAAATATATCAATATCTAATGCTGATAGGCTAATCACATTTAACGAAAGTCTTATAATGGTTAATAATGTTTGAAAACAAAAAGTCAAGAAAACAATGTATTATAATTATACTGTTATTCAATGCATTTATAAGATCTAACATAGAGTATGCATCCACAGCTTGGAACCCCAACTATAATAAACATGTTGAAATGATTGAAAGATTGAAGTATAAATATTGTAAATTTAAACCTACAAAAATCATGTCAATTATTAATAATCATGTTGATTCCACTTATTTCTTAAGCCAAATTTCATTTAAACGTCCAATACCCAACCATCATCCGCGATGCCCATTTGCAATACTTAATTGTTGCACTAATTATTTAAAACATAGGTTCCTTTTATGGGTGTGTACACAATTTAAAAGCGAATATCAAGAAATTAATACATTTGATAATAAGCCATTCCGGTTCAAATCTGCCATTAGAAAGCTTTTATTTTATTAACATAATTAGTAGTTGATTGTAGGAATTTTTCTTAGTGTTTGATCGATATAGGTAACAAATTAGTGGAGTGATTTATTATAATTGAATATCATGGTGGTTGAACATCTAGATATCCAATAGATTTAAATTATAATTAAAAGTGATTTCTAATTTGTTGTTTAGTGGTAATTATTATATTAGTTGGTTATAGCTATGTACAAACTATTTTAAACATTAGTGGAAACTGTTTTGGCTTCTGTTTATTTCATATTTGTTAAAAATAAAATGTATTATATGATGCTGTATGTATCCCAAATAAATAAAATAAAATAAAGTAGTATTCAGAAATCCGACCCCATCACTGAAATCTTTCTAATATGTTTCTTCACTTACAATTGGTGCAATGAGACACATTAGATTCGGGATAAAAATATCCTAGCAAATCCAGAAACAGATCTAGGCCTTGAAATTTACAGGATATGTTGGTTGAACAGAATACTTTCACCTCTGTACCTTCAACACAATTTGTTTGATGTTTCATCCACCTTTGTCAAAAAAACCAAACCAATGTGTTCAAAAAGTTCGCCACAGCCAATTCAGAAGAGCTTCTTCACTTTACACATTTAGATAAGAGGACACTTCTTTAAAAATATACAAAACCATGTAAATAATGTCACTTTGCAGATATGTGTATCACATCACAATCAAACCCAGTAAGATTTAAAGCAGATTCAGCATTTTTATAGCTACAGCTACACACAATGAACGCAACTAAAGTAGGTACCATCATAATTTCAATTCTATTGTTTTATAGATACGCGTTAGATACATACGTACTTCAATTTTACTGAACCACATAAACTCTAAGGATGGAACGAAAATACATTATTGCAAAATACAAATAAGACAAAGAATATACGACAGTGGTCTAGTTTACCTACTCGCCGTTTGATACAATTTTGATTGCCACGTATGTTATTCAGCGGATATCTTAACATACCTACTGTCACAGTATATACACGGCGGTGTTCGGTTGGAAGAACCTCGTGTGATGTGACTCCTCCAGGTTGAAACACATAATCCAAGAGTCAAGGTGGCAGTAAGTACAATCACAGCAAGATTGCTTACACAACAGGAACAGTATTAGGAATAAAACGCACTCGCTTACAAGTCTTTGGTAACAGTAAAATAGTAAACTTTAAACGAAATTAGGTCATAATTACCTAAGGGCTGGTGTGATTCAATCTCAAACGCACGCACGGCGACAGAGCAATATGGCCGACAGAAGTGAAGAAAACTTTTTGATGGAGCAAACGCAAAGTAGACCACAACGAACGTCAAATGAGAAGCTAGAAGATATTAAAAAAAGTAAATCATAGACAACACGAACAAGAGCAGCAATGATGATTAAACATATTCACCGACACTTGCATGACCAATTTTTTTACAGAGAAAGTTATGTATTTAGACGAATGACAAATACATATCTTTCTTTAATTTCAGCAACTACTACATACACATAATAAGCAATGTGTAAATCAAAGGAAGAATTCACTACAAACATCTTGACTAACAAGTTGGACGACATGTTGGCCAATATTATGCAGCTTCGTTTTGGATGCAGCGAATGTCATGTGATCATTGCATGTGATTAATTTAAAATTTGTAATAGCTTACTTGTTGATGCTTAACCATAACCCTTAAATTTAAGGAAAAACTATGTTATAAAATTTTTCAGGAACTTATGTTCATTCATTCTTTTTATGAATCAAGATTAGAAATTAGTTTTTTAAACAATGCTGAATCGGTTAGCCAGTTGGCGGATGTAACAGAGACGATAGTATGTAACTTTGAATGCAATCAACGAAACAATAAACAAACAATTATTAAGTAATTGAGTTTTAAAAAAATACAAATAAATTGAAATAAATATAAATTTTATTAAAACACTATACAGGGTGTAAACGTTAAGTGTGCCCAGGCGATTATTCCATAAATACAAGAAATATAAAGCTTTTAACTGATATCGAAAGTATGTACGTTACCTAATGAGTAACACAACATAACTTTTCAAAAATAAAACTAGAAATATCCGAATTTTTAACATTAAACACTCCCATACAATTGATAAATTAAAAATATGTATTGTGAGTTTACAGTGTCACCCAAAGCACTCGGAATGTTAGTCCTAAGTACAAAAAGATCGGCAAACAACGTTCAATAATAATAATCAAACAACGATCAATAATAATAATCAATAATGATAAGTACACGCTATGATCATGTAAAGTAGTTAATCAAAAAAATGTCAAAATTACTTAGTAGTTTCGATAACTTGTTGGCGAGCACAATGGCATCACGGACCTCTTCAAGTGTATTGAGCAAGACAAGAGCTCGAGGCACCACGTGGGGAGTTGCGGGCGTGTTTCGTGCGAACACCGTCTGGGGACGACGCAAACAGTTGAAGTCGGCGTCGAACACCTAATCGCGTACAATTTTGAGGCACATACAAACGAATATATTGAAGTACATCACTTCTAAGAATCTTACTGTGACATTAATAGATTTCGTTTTCGCCTAAACTCTAATGTCTCACACTATATACTTTCTGTTAAAGATATACCTACAGTGCCTACAGTACTGCCTCTGTATCCTCTCCAGCAAAAGTTCATTTTTTTGTCCCAGGGATCCCAAGCTACAGAACTGTATTCCAATCGAGAACGTATAAAAACGTTATACGGCATTACGGCGATCCTGGAATTCTGGAATTAAAATGACATTCGTAGGGCGGCTTTGGTTGACCTACTTTAAGAGGTAATATTTTTAGTTAAATTGAATAAAAAATATAATGGCAAAGTCAATTATTTGGTCAGAGTTGTTCATATAAATGAATAAAATTCATAAAAATATTTTTTTGGTGCTGATCGACTCGGTTTTATGTAAGTATAAATCATTTCATTGCATGGGACTAAAAAAGGGGACAGCAGAAATTGATCAAATTTGTTAAATGAAACTAGTTTTCCGGATTTAAATCGCGTATATTTGTTTTTTCAAACAAACCGACTTTTCGGGCCCTTTACAGGTCCCATGGTCACGGTTGGTCAAATTTAATAAAATGTTTTTCATACAAATTGAAAATAAATAATTAAAATAAATTGTAATTGTTTATTTTAAACTAAACTGCCTCCGTGGCCGAAAGGTTACCATACTGGACTGCAACGCAGCGAAGAAATATCTATTTGTATGATTGTAGGACCTACATTTATTTCTCTCGTGAGTTTGGATGTAATTTGTGGTTGTCTATGTGTGTGTCCACGGCGCCCGCGATACAGTGTTTCCCTAGTGCGGGTAGTTATAATATTATAATTATTATTAATAAAATAAATTTAAGTTCTAATTTAAATGGCAAAGCAAAGTATTCAATACTTTTAAAATAATTCTACGGACAATTGAAACTTATTACTATTTATTCGTGTACGGGGACAAATAAGTAGGTAGAAACAAAAATTTAAATACATAGAACATGTAAAGCGCCCGAAACTGGTTTGTTAGAAAAAACAAATATAGGCATTTAGACACAAAAAAATAGTTTGTAGCTATCGTAAAATGCAGTACTAGTCTAGGCACTCGCGGTTTATTAATGTTAAATAACAAACTCAATAAGGAATAATAAGTAAGACACGTGCGTGAGAGTTGGGTACGTTCAAGTGCGACGGCACTTGGACGCGCCCATCTCGCACCTGGAGCAGACTCCAGGCGCTAGACGGCAACATGTTGGCGCATGCCCAACCTGACTCTCTGAGGCAGACAACCGGTACAATCCGTCTGATGACGAGTCTGGGGTCTACCTCGACTTGTCCTATGAGGAAGTCTGTCACACGCTACAGACTCCCCCTTGAGTTCATGAGGACGCTCATTGGGCGACCACATGTGGACGACCTCTATTCCTTAAAGGCACTACGGAAGAAGGAACCACGTCATCCCTGCCCAACACCTCCAAGGGTGAACTAAGATTAGAGACCAGGTAAGTTATAGGATTAACTTTCTTTGTGACCAGGTAAGGACTCACTTTGGAATAAATTTCTCCGAGATTTTGTTTTTCTTTTTTTGATTAAAAAAATGCGCATTAGACTTCCGGTTTCACTGACACTTGTCAAAATCCACTTCGCATATCGAGGGTACTCACGAAGCAGTTTCGCTTTATTGACTGGACGAGGTCGTCGATCAAGGGCATCGAGTAAACATCTGTCTTCGTGACAGAATTGAGCCAGCGATAGTCCACGCAAAAACGAACCTTACCAAAATTGGCCTTGGGCAACAAAATAAGAGGAGAACCCCACGACGATTCTCATTCATCTATATAATGTCGTCCGCTAGCATTTTCTCGATCTCCACCCGCATGACAACCTTCTTGGCAGAGGTGACGCGATAAGGCGCCACGGTAACAGGCAGGTGATCGCCTGTGTAGATCCTATGCTCGACAAAAGTAGTTGATCCTGCCCCTGGCTCAAACAAGTCTTGGTTTTCTGCGAGGAGCTGTGCCAGCGTCCCGCGTCGTTGAGCGCTAAGCAAAATAGCTTAGTCCTCCCTATGTGCCTCAACAGCTGTTAGACCTGAAGTGAGAGGTGACACGCTTTCAAAGTGTACTTCTGGTTACTATTTTTCACTAAAATGCCGGCTTTTTTTATAAAAATATAAGTGCGCATTGTCAAATCCTCCATCTCACCTGATGGAAAGTGACGATGAGGTCGACGATGTAACATGCACACCTAAATAATACTTATTCGCTCTCGCCTTGAAAAGGTCCAAGTTATAGCGTTCGGGCAATAAATCTGCAGGCAGGGAATTCCCACTCTCCAGCCGCTCGCCATTTATATGTAGAGCCGAAACGCTTCTTGCAAGTCCGGGGGATATCCACAACTTAGTGTTGGAAACTCGTAGAAGTGGTGGGTCCCCCGGACAGGCGGAATTAAATTATGCAATTCTATCGCACACTCTCTGTGATATATCCTGTAGAATAAGGAAACAACTTTACGGCGGTGTTCAAGGCTCTGCAGCTTCGCTTCTACTAATTATTCCGAGTCACCTATAAGTCTTCTGTCACGCTGGTCGATTGAGTCCAAGGTAGCCAATTGGTATTTAGCAGAGCCGTCTCATAAGTGGCAGCAGTACTCCGTACACCACCGGCCTTGTGCTTAGTACAGCTGAAGCAACTGTCCCGGTGTGTAATAACGCCTCACCTTGGAAAGGATGCCAAGCTTCTTGGCTGTATTTTTGGCCATGGATTCAATGTATCTGCCAAAGTTCAGATTGGACGACAGGTCCATTCCAAGCTATAGACGATCGACTATCGGTATGGATATATCACGAAGAATCGGAGTTAGATGAAAGGAACTCCGTTTTGTGGAGAATAGACACGCTTGCGTTTTGGTAGCATTAAATTTGAAAGATTGGCATAGCCCTAATCAGAGACTGCTTTAAGTGTTAAATTCAAACGACTGGATTTCTTCTCCACTGACCCTTGCATTGGTCAAGTACCTGTCCACAACTGTGCTGTAATTAGCATACCAAAAGGCACCTGGAATGAACATATCGCCCGACGTTCGGAAGAGTAACCATCTAAGTCGAGTAGACTGGAATCGAACTTCCATTAAAAAAAAACGAAATCCAATTGCAAAGGTCAGTGGGAAGCCTATGTATAAGATGGAAGCCCATAAGAGGCAAACTTGTTTAAAAGGCTTGCATGTCAGACCCTGTCAAAGGTTTTAGAAATATCTAAAGACACTGCAATGGCTTCGCCATTCTATAGCCTCGCTCCATAAGTGAGAAGCGTACACAAGAAGATACCCAGTAGATCACCCTCTTCGAAATTCGTACATTTGTTTTTCAATTTTTATAGCTGGATCAGGATGGTATTAGTCTTTGTACTTGAGCTTTGTGTTTAAATCGGATACTTTGTAATCTAAGTAGATTTTCATTAATTATTATTATAATAGTAGACGTCGACGTTCGGCCAAAACCGATAGATCTCCTGTTAAAACAGTAGACCTGCCAAAACTAATAGCAAGTGTTGCCAGATTAGGCAATTTTTCACCATTCAGGCTATTCCGATGTTTAGAGCCCGCGCACACAGAGAGCGGTCAGGAGTTCTGAGTTCCGAGTTCCGCGTTCGGCGTTCATTAGAATGTACCTAGTCTATAACAACAACGCACACAGCGGGCAGTCAGACCGCGGCGGTCAAAGCGGAACGTCGCGTTCTAAGAGTTCTTTTCCCGCCGAGACAGGGAACGCCTGAACGCCGCGATGTCTGAGGTTGAAAACACGGAAAAGTTGATTGAATTGGTTAGGGAAAGGAGTTTATTATACGATTTAAGTGATGCAGA